CAGCAGGACATGTTAGACTGGTACAGGACATGTATGAGGACAGCAGGGACATGTTAGACTGAAACAGGACCTGTATGAGGACAGCAGGACATGTTAGACTGGTACAGGGCATGTATGAGGACAGCAGGACATGTTAGACTGATACAGGACATGTATGAGGACAGCAGGACATGTTAGACTGGTACAGGACATGTATGAGGACAGCAGGGACATGTTAGACTGAAACAGGACCTGTATGAGGACAGCAGGACATGTTAGACTGGTACAGGACATGTATGAGGACAGCAGGACATGTTAGACTGATACAGGACATGTATGAGGACAGCAGGACATGTTAGACTGGTACAGGACATGTATGAGGACAGCAGGACAGTGGTGAGATGTGCTGTAGGAGTGACAGATGGCTTCAAGGTGGAGGTGGGATTTCATCAAGGATCGGCTCTGAGCCCTTTCTTGTTTGCTCTGGTGATTGACCGACTAACAGATGAGGTCAGGCAAGAATCCCCATGGACTATGATGTTTGCAGATGACATTGTGTTCTGTGACGAGAACTTGGAACAGGTGGAAGAGAACTTTGAAGAGGTGGAGGTATGCACTTGAAAGAAGAGGAATGAAAGTCAGCCGTAGTAAGACAGAGTACATGTGTGTGAATGAGAGGGAGGCTGGTGGAACAGTGAGGCTACAAGGAGCAGAGGTCACAAAGGTGCAGGACTTCAAGTACTTGGGGTCCACTGTTCAGAAAAATGGTGAATGTGGTAAAGAAGTGAAAAAGAGCGTCCAGGCAGGATGGAGTGGATGGAGAAAAGTTTCAGGAGTGATTTGCAACAAAAGGGTGTCAGCAAAGATCAAAGGAAAAGTTTACAAGACAGTGGTGAGACCAGCTATGTTGTATGGTCTGGAGACAGAGACATGGACAAAAAGACAGGAGACAGAACTGGAAGTGGCAGAAATGAAGATGCTAAGGTTCTTCTTAGGAGTGACAAGGCTGGATAAGATTAGGAATGAGATCATCAGAGGTACAGCACAGGTTGAGCAACTGGGAGATAAAGTTAAGGAGGCCAGACTGAGATGGTTTGGACATGTCCAGAGGAGGGACAGTGGTTTGGACATGTCCAGAAGAGGGACAGTGTGTATATTGATAGAATGATATTAGAAATGTAGCTGCCAGGAAAAAGACAAAGAGGAGATATATGGATGCAATTAGAGAGGACATTGAGGTAGTTGGAGTGAGGACAGAGGATGCAGAGGACAGAGTGAGATGGAGGAGGATGACTCGCTGTGGAGACCCCTGAAGAGGGAAACTCTGAAAGCAGTAATACTTTTCAGTTCACGTAAACTTATCTTTTGTACATAGTTAACAGACAATAAACAATATTTTAGAACACTTAGTTTCTCTCTGAAGAAGAATCTTTACCCACTGAGTTCAGTCTTGGGTTCTGTTCCATGTGTTCAGGGTGGAAAACATGTTCATGCGCTTGGAAGAGGTGAATGAGAGGGAACATTCCATGAAAGCATCCCTGCAGACGGTGGACCTTCGTCTGGCTCAGCTAGAGGAGTTCTCCGGACGGATGATGAATGCTTTGGAGAAGCTGGCTGGTGTGGACCGGGTCGAGCTGAGCCATACTCGATCCAGAGGATCGTCAGTGTGTGAGCCGTCTTCTCTGCTGCGATATGGCAGCATCAACAGTGCCGATGGGTACAGCCTGTACCGGTACCAGTTGGACCACGATGACAGAACATCTGGAGACATAGAGGACAAAAGAGTCAACATGAGTCCAGAGAGAAAAGCAAGAAACTCAGAGGCAGGAAAAACAGCAGGTAGGTCCAGAAACATGGCACGTTACAAAACAAGGTAGGTTTTAATTCACGCATGTCCCAGTTTTTCTTTGACAGTGTCTGTTAGATTTGACTTGGTTGTCCATCCATCCATCCATCCATCCATATTCACCCACTTTCTCCTCTGCTGGTCATAGAGGGTTGGTGCCTATCTTCAACAGTCACTATGTGAGAGGCAGAGTCCACACTGGACATGTCTCCAGTCCATCACAGGGACACATTGAGACAAACAACCATTCAGACTCTAACATGAATGGTTTCAGTTTGTGGGAGGAAACCAAAGTAACCAACAAGAAGCAATTTTTGGGAGAACATAAGCTCCACACAGAAAAACCCTAGGATGAGAGGAGTACCTGCGACCTTCACTCTGTGTAGCAATAGTTCTACACACTTCACCACCATGAGTGCTGGATGAAAGCTGAAACTTTGCAGTTCAAGCTTTTAAAAAAGATGGAACACAAGTTAAAAGTTGAAACAAGTTAGTTAAAGTAGCTAAAGACTAGGTAAAAGTAAAACATGGCAAAAGACAAAATGAGCTGAAGATTTCAGACATCTGTTTTGAAGGAAATGAAAATATCTCTCAAGATTTCTACAAGGACATTTTTTGTAAATGAGAGAGATGTAATATTCCACTCTCTCCGTCAGTTTGCTTATTGGGTCACTTAGATGATGTCACATTGGAGAAAGTCAATTCACATGATTTTTACTGCTTTATGTATAGCAAAAAATACTATTCTCATAAATTGGAAAAATAAAAATACTCATTATTAAACAGTATAAAGACCTTTTGTTAGATTACATCAGTCTTGAGATAGCCTGTACCTCCACATCAGAACAATCTCTCTGGGCTTCTTTGATTGGCTTCAACCTGTAGTGGAGGTGGGTAAACCCCTTTGATTTCGTCCCGTGGGGCATTGTGGTTGATGTGGGGGGGTATCGGGGCTGGGGGCATAGGGGGGTCGTGGGTCCGGGGCAAAGGCGCTCAACTGGGGAGATGGCTTTGGTGGTTCTGGGCGTTGACCTCTGCTGGCTGCATGCAGGCCTCTGGGCGGTCTGTGCCGGCGGGCGCAGGTTGCTGGCCTGGTGGCCTGGCTGCTCCTGGGTGCAGATATAGCAGAC